TATTATGGAAAAAGAAGCTAATTAAAGCCTGAAAAGGGATTATTTGTTCTAATTTTCTTGCAGCCTTCACACTGTTTGTTGGTGTGACTTTCCCTTTCTTTGGCGATCTTCTGGGTTTCTTTGGTGGTTTTGGCTTTGCTCCAACTTCCTATTTTGTAAGATGTTTTTCGTCATTTTTTTTAAATATTTTATTGTTATCAAATAGTGGAAAAAAATGAACCATAGTGTTCAACTAATTAAAATACTTGGTTATTTGTATTTTTAGTGATTTTGTTTTGTTGTGAGTTGTTAGGACTTGGGTTTATCTAACTGTATATTTAAAAAATAATGCGCAGCTGCCTAGCATAATATGGCTGAAAATCAAGAAACCACAGAGATTGAGCCTGTCATGGTTTATCAATTGGGTAAATGAACTTGTTTTCTCAATTGGGATTGACATTAATGATATTTAAATGCTTATATTTTTAATCTTTTATTTTATTTATTTAATTTTATTTTATTTTTTCTAATTTCAGGGATGTATAATTATTGGAGTTTTCATCATGTTTGCATCAACAATTGGCGGGCTGCGAAATATTGCAGCGGACTCCTCATCTTATGAATTTTACTCTTAAAAAATTGCTTTAATTTGCTTATAATTTATTGTATAAGCTTGAGAATAATAGTGTTCAAATGATCATTATGATGGAATTATTGAGAGTGTTGATTTTTTAGTCTTTTGTGATTTTAAACCATTTGATGATAAAAAATTACGTGGAGGCCACAAGGATTTGAATTGTGTCTAATTAATTTCTAGGTGAAACGTAGTTTCAGAAAATAAGGTGATGGAATGACGTGATGAAGAAATTGACTATTACTTTCGGATTTTTCTATAAAACTTATTACAGTCTGTATCTTAAATAATGAACAACAAATGTCCAAATACCTATATTTCTTGCTTTATTAAGTATATGTTTAATATTACTTGTAAATAAGATTAAAAGGTTCCATTTTACCGTTTTGTTTGAGTTGAATCCCAGCAGGACAAGTGAATTGAGATAGGGAAATTTTTATTCATCCCACACGATTGGGAAGAAATTGCAATATTACCATTCATAATAATTTAATTGTGTATATACCTAATAGATAGTGATTAATTACATTCATGCCTAAAAATCAGTTACAGATAGGCCACCTCCATTCCATATTTATAGCGCATGATTTCTGGGTTGTTAACAAAAAAAAAATTGACGTCGATTGT